AGGGAGCTGCCACTGTGGCTTCCACAGAATGGGCTGGACCAGGGTGCCCAGGGTTCAGATGGGCTGGCTGGGATAACTTCAAGGCTGCCGGGTGTGGGGCTGTCCCTAACTGATTCCTTGCCGACAGATGATTAGAGGAAGGAGATCCCTGAGTAAGGACCTGATAAGGGTGGTGGCAGCTGTGTGTGTGGTTTCCTGCTGGCTGGTGCATTTTAAAGGCTAGCTCACAAGCAATGGGTTACCTTTCCAGTAACAGCCAATACTGGAAAGGGCAAGGCCAAGCCCTCCAGGAGAAGCAAAGCCTGCAAATACATAAATGATAAATGAAAATGACAAGCATGGTTGAACTGGGTGTGGTGGTTGCATCTGTGATCCCAGAGGATGGCTGAAGCTCCGAGCTCCGGGCCAGGAGTTCTCATTGCAGCTGTGCAGAGCCTGCTGCTCAGAGGGACCTGTACACGGGGCAGTTAAGGGAAACGTACTATCAGAGTCTCTCTGGCAAGGGGCCACTACGGCTCTCTTCCTACAGTACTTTGAATGTCCATCACATACCTGTCCTCTGCCAGGCCTGTGCAGACCCTGGGCAATGGATGGATGGGCAGTGTTTGTTCCTTCCTCTTAAGAAGGGTTCCAGCAAATACAGCCTCAAAGAGCATATTCTCTAGGCCTGGATGGCAAGACCAGTGGGCAGCCTGATCAGAGGGGTGGGACAAGAAAGTGTGGGCATGTCTCGGAACTGTGGGCAGGTGGCTTGGAATGTGCTGGCTAGCAGGACATAGGGCCAGTGGGAGCCTTCAGCAGAGTCAAGAATGCTGTTGTGGAACATGAGGACTGTGTTCTGAAAGGAAGGGAGACGTGAGGGCACAGGAGGCTCCCCCTCATTGAAGCTGGTCGAGAAAAGGGGGGGACAGATCAAGGAACACATCTGTGCTCTCAACCCTGCAAGTCACATGGAGGCTGACTTGGGAGACTGGGGTCCAGTAACCAAAGGGTAGGGGAAGGTGGGATAGATGAAAGCACAAAGCTAAAGCCAGCCTTGTTTGGAGACAGGATGATTTAGAGGGACTGTGGGATGTGAGCTCTGCTGGGTGGAGGACAGAGATAAAGATAACAGTGACAGAGTAGCTTATGAACACATCAGGGGAACTGAGCTGAAACCCAGAAGCAGTGTGCACACTGAGTGTGCTGGTGCAGGCTTGCAATCCCAACTACTGGGGAGGATAAAGAGGAAGGACCGAGTTCAAGTCCAGCCTGGGCGTCTTAGTGAGGATTGTCTTTTTAAAAAGATTTAAGCAACCGGGCATTGATGGCGCACGCCTTTAATCCCAGCACTCAGGAGGTTGAAGCAGGCGAATCTCTGTGAGTTCGAGGCCAGCCTGGTCTCCAGAGCGAGTGCCAGGATAGGCTCCAAAGCTACACAGAGAAACCCTGTCTGGAAAAAAAAAAAAAAAGATTTAAGCAGTGGGGTGGAGTATGGGGAGATGGATCAGCAGTTAGGAACACAGGCCACTCTTGCTGAGGACCTTGGTTCTGTTCCCAGAACCCACGTGGTGGCTCACAATCATCTGTAATCGCAGTTCCAGGAATCTGATGCTGTCTTCTGGCCTCCACTGGCACCAGGCACTTACTAGGTACACAGACATACATGCAGGCAAATACACATGTGTGCACAATAAAAAAAAATAATAAATTCAAATGTCTAAACATTTTAAAGGGGAGTGGGAGTGCTGGAGAGGCAGCTTCTTGCAGAAGACCTGGGTTCAGTTCCTAGCACCCATGCCAGACAGCACACAACTGCCCATGACTCAAGTTCCAGGGGATGTCATGCATCTAACCTCTTCGGGAACCCAAATTCACATGCATGTACCCCACCAATCTTTAAAATAAGTACAAGTAGGGCATTGAGTGTGGACCCGTAGGAGAGCAACACCCTTCTGGGTTCAGCTCTCAATACTGAAAACAAATAAGATGGAGAAATAGGCTGGATTCAAATGGAACAGGGACTGTAACATCAAGGCGACACCACAATCTAGGAAGTGAGAGGAGTCTCTCTTGTGCCGCCTTCTGGGATGACTGAGAAGTGGGTGTTGGGCCTAAGAGTCGTTGATCGTGCCATGTAGAGTATTGCATTTGTGTAAACACTGCAGAACCACTGAGCTTCACGTGGGTGGATTCATGTGGAAGGAATAACAAACCCAAACACGAAAGATGAAAACCCTCAAGGCTCGAGGCCACGTCTGAAGGTCAAGGGTGTTGACGTCATTATCCAGATTTCCCAGCTGTTAAAATCTGTAACTTAGTTTTGAACGACTCAACCATCTTTCATTTGTAATTTTTTTTTTTTTGCCTAAGCTTCTTTTCCTGTTGCTGTGATAAAAAAAAAAAAAAAAAAAAAAAAAAAAAAAAAAAACACTCTGGGAAAAAAAAAATCAACTTAAGGAAGAAAGGCTTTCTTTGGGCTCACAGTTCCAGGTGACAGTTCCTTATGACAGGGAGGGGCAAGGAAGCAGGGACCTGACACAGTTGGCCACATCACATCTGCATCCGGAAGCTGAGAGCAGAAGACATGTTGGTGTGCTGCTCAGCTTGCTTTCTCCATTTTATTCAGCTCAGGACCCCATGTCTAGGGAGTATCTCACCCACAGTTAAGATGGGACATCCCACCTCTGTGTCTGTAATCAAGCCAACCCCCCACAGTGACACTGGAGGCCCACCTCCAAAATGATTCTAAATTGACATTAGTGTTAATTGACGCATGTATATAGACAAAAAGTAAAAATGGCAACAACTTTTGGGTAAAGATTGTAGAGATGTGGATACTTATGGAGCTATTCTGAAGTATTTATACATTTAAACTTTGACGTTTGGCAGAAAAGTTGAGGAAAAGGTTGGGTCGGAGCTTGACCTCAAGACCAACTTTCTTCGGAGAGCTGCAGGTGGTTTCCTCGTGCTCCGCCTGTGGAGGACAAGGCTTTAGGCAATGCTCACATCTGCAGAGGGTTGCAAAGGGACAGAAATGCTACAATTTAGGGGAAGACGGGTGGATGGGCAGAAGATGGTGGGGCTGGGAGGAACCTGTTCCGTGTTCACAACGTCATGTGGCTTTTAATTTGTGAATCCCGAGGCTGATCTTTTGAAGGGCAACTATTTGCCTTAAAACTGAATGGAGTACATTATCTAAGGACTGGACTTGGAGGTTCATGCCTCTATTTCCAGCTGCTTGGGAGGTCAAGGCAGGAAAATCACACGTCCGAGGACTGCTTAGCCTACAGAGTGGGTTCAAAGCCAACAATTTAGTGAGACTCTGCCTCAAAATAAAAACCAGTGGCTGGTGGGGGGGGGCGGGTGATTGAGAACACTTGCTGTTCTTGCAGAGGACTTAGGTTTAGGTACCAGCGCCCATGTTGGGCAGGTCACAACTGTCTGCAACTCCAATTCTAGGATGATCTGATGTCCTCTCCTGAACTCCAAGGGAACCTGCATGCAAGTGTACAACACACACACACACACACACAGAAGGGAGAGAGAGAGAGAGAGAGAGAGAGCGAGAGAGAGAGAGCGAGAGAGAATCAGAATTAAAAACTAAAATCTTTGGAAGGCCTTACCCACACTGAAGAGTGGATAGGGGAGGGTGAAGGGAGGGGAAACTGGGGTTGGTATGTAAAATGAAAAATAAATTTCTTTAAAATTAAAAAAAAATTCAAGGTGAAGGTATGGGCTCTCCTGAGACCTTCTTCCTCAGCTTGCAAGCACCATCTCGCTGGCATGGTTGCCTGCTAGTGTGTCGACATCCACATTCGCTCTTACGAGGACATCAGTCACACCAGGTCACATCATTTTAACTCGATCACCTTTGTAAGTTCTCATCTGCAAACATAGGACCGCTGTTAGAGTTAGGCCTTCAGCGAGAGAAGGAAGGGACAATGGAGGCCATACAAAGGCCATTGGGAAGATGGCAATGCCCTGGTGGTAGATAGTGGGCTCAAAATGCTGTGAACACTCTCAATGCCATTGAGCTGGTGAGAAATGGCTGGTGTGGTGCAATTTCTGTGACACACACACTTACCACAAATGTAATGCATTTTAAAAGAGGGACACCCTAGACAGGCATGAGACTTGGAAGTGTCCCTCTGAAGGTGTTAAGACTGCTGTCCAGGCACACTGACAGAAAAGCAGCTGGGAGGGTAGGGACATAAGCGGCCGACAGGAGTCTGACCTGACCACAGCAGAGCCTCTGTGTGTGGGTCTGAACAACCATTTGGTTCTAGGCTTGGTAGCCTCTCCCCACTTGTGCTGTGGAAAGAGTAGTTTTGCCCCGTAGTTCCAAAGTCCCTTTGAAGAGGTGGCCCCGGCTCTGTGAGCAACCCTGCCAGCTCCTGGCAACCTCATGCGGCCACAGCCTCCTGTGCTGGCGCCTTCTCTGGAAGCTGGTCCATTCTCCAGTTTCCAAACTTTCCCCACAGCTGCCAGCAGCCGTTTCTATAGCAACAGATGCCCTTCACAACCAGGGAAAAGTGAAGAGACCCTAAGTAGAGGAGAAAGGGGGGATGCACCGTACAGATAGGTGACAGATTGACGAACCCAAAAGGGAGGGGATGGGCTCTAGTTTTATTGCTGCTTTGTTGAGACCCTTGTCCAAGTCCTCTTGACCATGTTCTTTGATTTGACGTGTGATCTCCCGATGCTGCAGAAAGGATACAGAACACACCTGATCAAAGGTCACCAGTGAGGCACAGCTCGAAGAGCCAAGGAGCTGGGGACACAGGAAAAGAGCTGAGCCTCGTTATGGTACACTCGGTGTGCCTCCTGCCTCTTCCTTCTTCCTTGGAAAACTGCCTCCTAGGAAGGGTGCTAGCTGGTTTTCCTAGCTGTGCACTGAGGCAAGTTCCTTAAGCTCTCCGTGCTTACAGGGAGAGGAGTAATTAATTGGACAGGGTTAAATGTGATGTGCGTGTGGAATTCGAGGATGACACTAAAACTCTCTTCCCGTTTCTCTCCAGTTGGCCATGGGCAGAGTGAAGGAGAGAGGATGGTGGTATCAGACTTCCAGGTTTTTGTCAGAGACGTGCTGCAGCATGTGGACACCATTCAGAAGGACTACCCTGGGGTCCCCGTCTTCCTCCTGGGCCACTCCATGGTAAGCAAGCCACAGAGGAAGTTCAAAGCAAGCCTTGTCCGCCAGACCACCTGACTTCCTGTGCCTCTGCCTCTGGCTTCTGCATGGATGGAGTACCCTTTTCACACACCCTATCTGTGGAGTCCCCTGCACCCCCAGCACTTGGGAGTTAACTAGGTCCTCGAGTTCTTTCCTCATGCTCAGGGCTAGAGGGACCGCAGCAAGTGGGACATCTCATGAAACAGCCCTGAAAGCAGTTTGAGTCCCTTTCCCTATGAGATCTCCCAGCCCTAGGAACCAAGTTTAATCTCAGATGGTCCCCTCCCCACAGCCACAGCGGGAAAGCTGGCTGGCAGCAGAGGGCTGAGAACTGCTTGGACCCAGAGAGGGTCCAAGGACATCCCCTCACTGCCGGGCTCTGCCTTTACATCTCTTGCCTGCCTGACCCCTGTCAGTGTTGGAGATGCAAGCATTGCTGTCAGTTTCCTCTGGCCTTCAGATGGACAAGACTGCCTCTGCCACATCCTCCTCCCCCTCCTCCTGCTCCATCCACATTCACTCTGGATATTATTCCTGGAACTTAAATTTTGAAATCATTATTAAACACATACATACACACACCCCCATCTATTACTATAATTGAACTCTCCCCTAAAGAAAAGAAACAACTCATTTGAAGCTAGTCAGAATAGATGAATTGTGGGTCTGTTAGCTTTGGGTTTAAGAGTAGAAAGCAATGTGTTGTTACATTTGTGACCCACAGCCAGAACCTTCTTCATATCTGTCTGAAATGTTTGCCCTTGGAAAACCCAGAGACAAGAAATGTGCAATAAAAACCCTACAGAGCCAAGCACAGTGGCTCACTCCTGTAACCTTAGCACTCAGGGAGCTGAGGCAGGAGAATTGTCATGATTCTCTGACTGTCCTGGGCTATAGAGTAAGACTCTGTCTCAGTAAAATAAAATAAAGGGAGGGGGAAGGGACAGGGAGAGAGAAGGAAGGAGAGGAAGGAGAGAGGAGGGAGTGGAGAAGAAGGGAGGAAGGGAAGGGAGAAAAGAGGGAAAGAGAAACAGGAAAGGAAAGAGCAAAGAAGGAAGGAAAATCTGCCAATGGATAGGGTCTGTTCCAGGTCCCCACTTGGGCTCTTGGCCAACATGGGAACAGGTGAGGGAGTCGGGGTCACTCTGGTTAGAAGTCGGTGCCACTCTGTTTTGCCTTGCAGGGCGGTGCCATCTCCATCCTCGCGGCTGCAGAGAGACCAGCCCACTTCTCTGGCATGGTCCTCATCTCACCTCTGGTTCTTGCCAATCCAGAATCTGCATCGACTTTCAAGGTAAGAGGGAGCCACAGTGTGTATAGACCCTGAAGCTTCAGGATCGTGACTTATCCCTTTACAGCGGGTGTCTGTGTCAAAGGGCCCACTGCCGGTCAGTCCTGAACTTCAGACACTATTGTGTGAGGGTTTGACGTCAGATAGTCACCAGGGCTTAACTTGAAGTCAGGTGTGTCTTTCCCCCAAACACAAAAGAGAAGGCTTCCTGTTTATGCATGTTGTCCTGGCCAAAGTTAAGAGGAGGAAAGGTTACGGGAGTTACCGAGCTGGCGAAGTCACGTTTGCTGACAAGTCCCACGCAAGCATGAGCTTCTGTCACTGAACATTTGCCAACCTCAGCAGAAAGCGAACTCGGAGTGGAACTGCAGCTGCAGATCCCGTTCCGGGCTGCTCCACTCCATCCTTGAGCTCTTCCAGCCTCGGCCCTGATGGATGGATGGATGCATCAGTTTGGAGTGTGGATTTAAGGTGCTGTATGATCAGTGTTTGCTGTCGTTGCCAGAGCGTTGACTCCCTTTGACACGGTGAACAAGGCAACGAGGCACCCCAAGAAATAGCCAAGGCCAGTACCCCTGAGGGATTATTGATGTGTCCTTAGTGCAGATCTGTCCTTAGGAGGTATGAGAACCCCAAAGAGAGTGAAGCCCCCAAGGAGTGCTCCAGCCCTGGCAGCGGCTACTGTGACCTGAGCCAACTCTCAGGATGCTTGGAGGGGAGTGAAGGTGAGGTGGTGTGGCCTGGGTCCAGGTGTTGCGGGCAGCCTATACTGTCACCACCAAATGATGACAGGGGATTATTTAGATACCAGTGTGGCTTCTTATTCCCCTATCTCCTGGAACCCAGGCAGTGGAACCTGGCACTTGTCTGTGGTCCCAGGCAGCACATCAGGCACTGAGTGCAATGGCAGCATGGAAAGGTGCAAAGGCTGTGGCCTTCTCCTCATCTGCCTTGCTAACTGTGATTCTGTGGGGCATGGCCAAGTTAGTTCAAAGGCGCTTTTCCAAATATAGTCTGTAAGACAGAGGTTAGAGGGGAAGGCTGTGCCATGTTCAAATGGCTTCGTTCCAGAGACCTGTGGCCAGTGCATCAGGGAGTCTCCAACTGTGTCAGGAATTGCCAAGTGGGAGCTGTGTGTTCACCCACACAGTCCTGGACCAGGGAAGAGACAAGACCCGCGCATGCTGGGGGTGGGGACACTGAGGCTTGGGAAGGGGTAGTTCAGCCAGGCTTAGCCATCGAGTGGTGAATGTGAGCCCCAGTGGGGCTACCCCTCACAGAGAAGAAAATGGATGTTTTCTCCTTAGAGACAGTCCACAGAGCCTTTTAGATAAAGTGCACCACCACAGCTGTGCCCAGAGGAGGGCGGCCAAGGTTTCCTCCCAGGGTCCTCTGGGGCTCCATCTAGGACCAGCAGTGGCCGCACTTCTGAGCTGGTGACCTTTCTGGCTTGGTACTAATAGATCACCTTGTCAAATCAGGAGCCAGTGTCTCTAGGGAGACACAGGTCTCCTCTGATTAACCAAGACAAATTAGATTTCCCTTGGCCTGCCGAGGGCCAACCCCACCGGCGTCTGTTGCTGCCTCCAGGCTTCAGCCTGTCTTGTCTTTGACTGTCTCAGTCCAAGTGTGACTCCTTGGTTCACCTGCTGGGGGCATGTGGCTGCTCTCCACACATGGCCTTATCCTCAGACAAACTCCCTGAGAGAAGATCACCACATCTTTATTTCTGTTTCCCAATGTAATTTTACATAGTGAAGAATAATTCAAAGAGTTCAAATGTTAAAAGATGGGAAAGGGCATGGAGAAAATCCAGCCTGGGGGAGCAGGTCAGCAGTCATAAGGTCAGAGCTGGCTCCAAGGATACAGTTGGTGTGCACACATGCCGTTTGTTCTTTCTGCAGGTCAGGGCTTCTTGTGCTTATTTTGGGGAATATTGTTGCGTGTTCCTTTGGTTGGTCTGATTGTTCTTTGAGGGGTTTGGTTTGATTTTGCCATTTTTATTGTATGTCTTGGTGCCCTTTCTTCCCCCATCAAAATCTGAACAGGGTCTTCTGGGGACAGATCCTGGCTCAGAGCTCCCATTTCCAGTTGCCTGCTCCTGTGAGCCTCATAGATGGATGGCTGCTGGCCACCTTGTTCACAGGCAGGGATTCTAAGGGGTAGAGGAGGGCAGGGACTCAGGGTTGAAGGGTGGGGTGGAGGGGAGCTTCCCCACAATGCCCTGTGAATGTTCCCAGAGCCCCATGGATCCCTGAGCTCATTTAATAGCACTGGCATGCAGCTTGATGTTGGGCGCTGGCCTCCAGTCTGTGACTATAGGACCCAACACAGAAGAAAAATCGTATGTCCTCAGACTATATCCTCCAGCCAGTACCCTAACCTCAGCTGGTCCCCAGATAGTATGTCAGTCTTCATATGCATATGGGTGTGTGAAGGTGACCAGCTTCGCCCCTGGGATGGGAGGGTGCCCAGTCACCACCATCTGCTTTTTACACTGAGGCTGTGTTCGGATTAGCTAGGATATATTTAGCCTGAGGAAGAGACTGAGGACAAAGACATCAGCGCCCGGCACTCTCTGCTGAGGAAGTGGTTTCACAGGGAAAATGGTAGCAGCAGAAATTTAGAGACCAAAATTGCAGAGAACAAGTTTCAGCTGCTGCTTCCCTGGCTGTTCCCTCAAACAGTCTCATGTGTCTTCTAGGATCCCTTCTCTTACTGGGAGCCTCAAGGAAGGCAAAACTAGGCAGGGCTGGGCTGCCTGGATTGTCATCAGTGGGAACCATCTCCTTGCCTGAGGTCCCTGGAGTCCTGAGCAGGGCTTTGGGGTGCCCCCCCTTTCCAGCTCTGTAGGGCCCCTAGCCAGAGTATGGAGAGGGACTGTCTCCAGGAGACCTGTCTCACTGGAAGCACTGTTTCTCCCACACCACCTGCAAGGACGGGAAATGACTGAGTCACAGGCAAGGAAGCAAGGCCATTGTCTTCCTCAAGGTCAGCTTGATTACTGCTGAGCCAAGGAGCCCCTTCTACCCTAAAACATGACTGAGGTCATCTTCCTGCGACTGGATCCTACTTCCCATCTCAACATGCCAAGCCTGTTGTTGTCTCTGGACTCCAGTGCTCTGGAAGGAATATAGAGCATGGTGTGGGGGGGTGGGGACTGCAGGTGAGTAAGTAGCCTTGCATGGGCCACTGCGGTAGCCGCCATCAGCTCTAGTTGTGACTCCCCCTTAGTTCCACGGGCAACCTGCTTTGAGAGAGTTGGGGGCTCAGCTTTCCAGACATGGGTCTTGAAAAGCAAGCTGTCTACCCTGGAGTCAGAGCAAGCTCTGAATCACTGGAAAAGCATAAGACGTTTTACATTTCTATTGCACGACTTCCTAGAGAGATGCATTCCTGCTCAGAATGATCTGAAGTGACCCTAGAGAGCCCTGCCAGATCACAGGTGTTGCCATCCATGGGCCTCCTGAATGCAGGGCAGATTTCAGGAACCACGGCAGAAAGAAGGGGCAGTAATTACCTCTCACAGCAAGTTCTTCACAGGCAGAAGCTTAAAAATGATCGCAGGAGCTGTTAAGACCTTTCGGATCAATAAAGGCATTTATGCATGTCTCTACTGTTTACAGTGATGGGCACTGCAGTTGATTCAGAACTGTCCCCAGGGTGTGACAGGGACTCACCACCCCCTTCCCCCCTTCAGGGCTTGCTCAGTCAGGAGAGAGCAGCCTCAGTTCAGGAGCTGTGTTCCTGTTTATAGGGGCTGCATCATGGGTTGCAGAGCTTCAGCCATGGAGCTAGTTGTGGGAGTCCACACCTGCCATCCCAGTTCTCCAAAAGTAGAGACAGAGGGGGGTGAGTTCAAGGCTAGCCCGAGCTACCTTGTGAGAGCCTGTCTCAAAAAAAGAGCACCAAAGTTGCAGGTCACACACTTCTCCAGAGTCTCCACTAGGGTAGGGGTGCTGTTTGCTTCTCATTCAATTGACTAGCAAGGGACAAGGGACAAGCTCTGCAGGGGTCAGTCTTGACAAACACCCCAGGAATCCTCACTGTCCCCATCTGACAAATGAAGAAGCTGCTACCACCACGTGATCCAGATGTCACACCTCCTGGGAACTTACCCAAAGGAATCCAAGTCAACTTGCCAGAGACACCTGCCCACCCAGGTTCACCAGTGCAGTCTTCAGTGGCCAGGATAATGGAACCAGCCTAGATGCCCAATTGACAGATGGCCAGCAAAAGGAAATGTGGTGTGTTCACACAGCAGCGTTTTTCTCAGCTACAAAGAACAAAATTACGTCACTCACAGGAAAGTGAACCAGGAAATCATTACGTAAAATGAAATAAACTTGATCCAGGAAGACAAATGTCACATTTCCTCTCATATATGAGACCTGCGTCCCATGCACACATCCGTACATACTCACACCAGGCAGAGGTGGTGCACGCCTTTAATCCCAGCACTCGGCGGAGGCAGAGGAGGATCTCTGTGAGTTCGAGGCCAGCCTGGTCTACCGAGTGAGTTCCAGGACAGCCAGGGCTATGCAGAGAAACCCTGTCCCCAAAACAAACAATTCTCATACATACTCACATGTATTCATACTCACATACACATTGCAACATAAACACACATACATATGTATATGCAGACACAATGAATGTGAAAGCAGAAAGGGCACTACTGGGGAAAAGGAATGCACTCAGCAAGAAAAGGGAGTGTTGGGGTGGGGGCAGGAGAGAAAAATGGGGTAAAAATGGGCAAAATACATAGTAACCCTGAATGAAATGTCTGTGAGACCCACGGGTTGTATAATGACTATATGTTAATATACGCTAATAAAAGTTGTTGAAGAGACTTTCTCAAGGATTCAGTCCCAGAGTTTACACCCAAGTTGACCAAGTTGGGTCCGACTTGCCTGTTGGGATTGTGGGGAGGATGGGCAGCTTGCAGTCTCCTCTTCCTGAGCTGGGCCCACGGCTGTCTCCATGCCTGCAGGAGAACTTGAAGATCATGAAGACCCCTATTGAAAAGGCAGCTGAAGTGACGATGGCTTGGATACCATATGCATTCCACCTGTGGGTGAGCACGACCCCACCCTCCCTCTCCTGGGGGAATCAGGAGCAGGGCCTGCTACTGTAGCCACAGCTTGGGGATATGATCACAGCTGCTTCTAGGAGCCATCTGACATCCTTGACCCCTCGGCTCCTCCGGTTGCGGGATCTGCTGGTGGTGCCTTCGCCTTCTTTCTTGATACCTCCTCGTCCTCCTTATTCAGCCCGTCAGCTGCTCAGCCCTCCTGTCCTTCATCAATCAGCCCCCTCCCACTGCAGAGGCCTTCCTTCCATCCTCCTTCCTTGCCTTGTGCAGTCATCCCCTCTTAAAAGAACGGTGGGGAAGGGCCTCTTGCACATGCTGGATGCCCTGTGGTCTCAGGAGCATCCCTCTGCCTGCCTTGATTTCTTGGTGGAAGCAGCTACTAAAGTATCTACATCTCTTTAAGCCAGGTGGTGGTGGTTGTCCAAAGATATTCTCCCCTCTGAATGGGTCCTATTAGAAGCGTTCCTTAGAACTTACTACGCAGGGTTAGAGAGCTGGTAACTGGAGCCGGGGAAGCATCAGAACCTGTCCAACAGCAGGGACTGGAATATGACTCCTGCTCTGCCTGCACACTGGGGTCAATGAGGAGAGTTCAGGAGATTGAGGCAGGATCTGCTTGATGGGACCTACCTGGGTCCAGAGAGATCAGAGGTCTTGGGCTGGCCTGGGTATCTGTGGACAGTAGTCCTAAGATATCACTGCCCTTCATTTTCTTTTCTGTTGCTGTGATAAAAATATCCTGACAAGGCTGGGCGGTGGTGGCGCACGCCTTTAGTCCCAGCACTCGGGAGGCAGAGGCAGGAGGACCTCTGTGAGTTTGAGACCAGCCTGGTCTACAAGAGCTAGTTCCAGGACAGCCTCCAAAGCCACAGAGGAACGCTGCCTCGGAAAGCAAAACCAAACCAAATGAAACCAAAAGCATCCTGACCAAAGCAACTTAAAGGGCAGGGGTTTATTTAGCTCAGTCCACAGTGGTGGGAAAGGCACGACAGCAGAACTTAAAGGAGCTGGGTACACTGCGTTATCTATAGTCAAGTGGAACCTGCTTGCTAGGGCTCAGCTCCCTTTCTCCATTTGATGCAGATCCTGGATCCTAGAAAGAGAATGGCCCCACTCACAGTCGGCAGATCTTCCCTCCTCAGTTATACCAACCAGGACAGTCCCTGTCAGACACCCCTGGGGAGCCCCTCTCATGGGTGATTCTAGATTCTGTCAAATTGACAGCAATCACTGTCACGTCACCACATATTTGAACCCCTCCTTCATAGTTTTTTCCCTTTCATGCCTGTCCAGGAATGGAGCATCTGCCCTGGACATCGCCATTCTCTCTCCAGGGTTGGCATGTACCCAAATCTCCCACAGCCACCAATATAGTGAGACACTTCTGTTCTCTGGGTGGCATCCCGTGGGGCAAACCCTGACAAAAGGCTGCAGCCCTGCAGGCGATGGCCCTCATCCATGTCTGTGAGTGGGCAGCCAGTCCTGTTGCTAGGACACCAGCATCTTCATCTACACAGCCAGCACTGGACATTCATCGTTAGGAGCTGGTGCTAAAGCAGTGCACTCCCCCATCCTGAGGGCTAGCACAGTAGCTCCAGGGGGCAGGAGCGACTGTGTTTGAGTGGCCACTATGGCACCACCTTCCCTACACAGGCTGGGTATGTTCCCACCACATCTCCCCACTGGGCTTTAGGCTGCTGGAGAAAGAAAGTGGTCACCAGGACACAGCCTCTATACTGGAAATAGAGGTGAGGCCACAGCCCACTGTTCATCTCTGTGGGGGGACAGCCCATTTTAAAGCAACACATCTCAAAGTAGTGACCTTCCCCCAACCCCTCAGTTTTCCCTAAAAGCTTCCTTTAGCTGCCTAAATGGAGGAGGAAGACTGCGCCTGGCAAGAGGAGACAGTTGTTTTCACTAGAATTCTCCCCTGGAGGCAGATTCCCTGGCACCAGAGCCCCCATGTAGAACTAGAAATGTCTCCAGTCATCCCAGTCCTTGAACCTCAGTGTCTGCTTGAGAGCCTGGGGTGGAGGCCTTAGCAACCTCGAAGCATCAGTGCTTTGGTTTGGGAGAGGCCCGCATCGGGTTGGCACTCCTCTGTGCAGTGAGCAAATTCTGAACAGGACTGGCACCCCTGTGCCCAGGGCCACGTGGAATCAGGTGACTTGGCGGCAAGAGAGGGATCTGGCGGTGGATCTGTTGAGAGGGAAAAGGCATTGTACAGCCTTCCTCTGTTGCAGGGCCAGTGCTGAGGCATTCTCTGCCCCCTCTACTTTGCTGTCCCCTCTTGACTGGTCCTCTCTCACTATCTTCCCTGTGAATGCCTGCAAGAGCACTAATCTGTACCCTAACAGTCAACCACTGCAACCGTGAATGCTCCCTGTGGTGACACGGTGGACGATCGAGCGATGGATCAATTGATCCATCCATTCTGTGGGAAGGATTTTGCAGTGGGTAGCCAGCTGTTCCCTGGCTGTGGCTTTGAGGATGGGCAAAGAGTCAGTTGGACAAGCAGAAGGGGACAGTGCCCGAGATAGTAGCAGAAGCACTACTGTCTTCCTGTTGCCCGGGGACTTGGCTGCAACCTCTGAGGATATCAGGAATAGACTGGGTCAACCATCAGCCCTCACATGGATTCAGGGAGCTGGGGCAGAAGTCGTGGGGAAGAGCACTGTCTAGAAGCCAGTTTAGTGAAACTTGACGATAGTATGACGATTTCCCCGTAGCCGTATTCCTCCAGTGCTCAAGGAGGCCACAAGCAATTCCTCCACCACCAAGGGACCCACCTGTGAGCCAGGCGCCCTCCACACTTCCTAAGAACTCACCCTTTGCCAGCTCCTGTGGTTCTAATTTCAGCGTTTCACAGCTCACTTTTGAAATAGCTTCTTTCGCCCCAAATGTCTGCACTCATGGCAGACGTGAAATTAAACAGCCTCTCTCAGAAGGCAGACGTGCAAGATTGGGTTTTCTGCTTTCCTAGGAATATCTGAGGCCCGAGGGGGGGGATGGGCTGAGACCCCAGCCAGGCTCATCGTCTTCACTGGGCATGTATAGAATGCCAGGCTTTATCACACGATGTTATTAACCTTCCCTGTAGTCCATTTTGGGGGGAATGTTGGGGTCTCCATCAGCAGCTGTGCCAACAGAGCTCAGTATTGAGGTCCCAGCCTGTCTTCCTGGCTCACGGAGCTACGAACCAGACAGGGGACTTCTCCCCTCTGCCACAGGACTTCCTGTTCAGTCTGGTGATGGCTCGTTTTCCACGTGGTAGAACATGGCACGCAAGTGATTCTCTCTGATCCAAGCTGTCCTGCTTCCTTCGCTCGCTGACAACTGATCCAATGATTCTGACTATGCGATGTTGTTTTTGGTGCCTTGTGGGGAGGGCACAGGCTCATCAATGGCTCTTAAAAGTAATTCACAATTACATCTGATGTGTGGTTATATCTGCACAGAATCCAGAGCAAGAAAACAGACCCAGTGGTCGCACTGGTAGGAGAGCGGCCCTGTGTCAGGGCCCTGCATCGAGCAACATCCCTGAGTCCTGAGCATCAAGGCCACAGCACTCAGCTTGGGTGTCAGCTCCTTGCCCAGGTGATACTCTAGCCCTCCAGCATGGGTGGCCTGGACTCATGACTCTCATTTTGCCTCCTTGCCCAGGTCCTTGCTGCCAAAGTGCTCAACCTTGTCCTGCCAAACATGTCCTTGGGGCGCATTGACTCCAGCGTGCTGTCTCGGAACAAGTCGGAGGTGAGTGTAGGTGGACATAGGGGTGTTGGGAACAAAAGGCAGCTGAAGGTGGAGCCCAGTGAGATCTGACCTCGGCTCTCTCGTCACTTTGCTGCCATTTCTGGCAGTTGGGTGATGGGGACTCAGTGGAGTGAGAAGTTTCGTCCTTGCTTTAGGGGTTAGGGGAAGGCGGAGAGTCTGAGCTCTACTCCAGACAATCAGAGAGCTTGATGGAGGACAGACATGCTGCATGGTTAGGTCTCTCTTGGTTGCAAGTGACAGAAACCTAAGTCAAAGAGATTCAAGGGACCAGAGGATGGCCCAGTGATTATGAGAGCTTTCTGCTCTTGTGGAGGATCCCTGTGAGGTTCCCAGGACCCCACTCTGGTGGCTCATCCCAAGGTATCTGACACCCTCTCTGGCCTCTACCAGCACCCACACACACAGGATATACTCATAAAAATAGATTAAGTGATTTAAGCCTAAGAGGTCATTTATTGGTAACAGGAACTAAAGGCTTCAGAGGCACGATCGAGGATCAAAATCTCTGTAAGAGCCTGCCTTTTCTCTCAGTCTCTCCCCAGCACCACTACTTGGCTTTGTCCCCATCTAGGCTGTCCCCAAGTAAAGGCAAAGAAGCCATGAGCTTTCTAATTGGCCTTAATAAAAACCTGGAGTCAGATATGGGAGGGGGTTGAAAGCCAAATGATCAGAGAAGCAGAGCAGCAGCCACTAGAGCTCTTACCTCTATGAAATCTCCAGACTGAAAAAGAGACCAAGCTCCTGTCTGCTCCCGCCTATACTCCTCTCTCTGCCCCACCATCTCACTTCCTGTCTGTCTGTACAGACTTCCAATCCTCTCTGGTTAGCTAGTGGCTACCTCCACCCTCTCATCTTCAGGCAAGCTTTATTTGTTGAGAGTAAACAAGATATCACCACATTCCCCCCCTTTTTTTTCTAAACATAAAGGTTAGAACTAATGCAAGAAAAACTATAGACAATAAGTATAATGACTATATACAATATATACAAGCAATAAGTATATCAACAATGTCTAGCCTACTAACAGATGGTAAATTCAGAGAAAATACTCCATATCTATCCTATCTTAGTGAGTCCAAAAGGTTATACCTAACTCACTTTCTAACTTGCGTTTACAAAATCCATCTTTTTTATGTCTCTCAACCTTATACACTTTACATTTCTTCAGTAAATTTCTTTTCTGAATCTGATAACAAGGAAGGCTATTAACTATGAAGTCTTCAACTCCACTAGAGACCTGAGAAGGAAATACTACTACCTGAGTAAGCAGGAAGTGCAAACAAGTGACTTCCAAAAAAACTGAGAAATGTCAGAAATAGCTGGCTGCCTGGACAGTCACCCAAGGTTTCTCTGCAACACTGGTGCATCCATCTTTGGCCTAAAGGCCTAGCATATCTGACAGACTTGTCTGTGAAGCAGGATTTTGTTTTTTCGAGACAGGGTTTCTCTGTGGCTTTGGAGGCTGTCCTGGAACTAGCTCTTGTAGACCAGGCTGGTCTCAAACTCAGAGATCCACCTGCCTCTGCCTCCCAAGTGCTGGGATTAAAGGCATGCACCACCACTGCCTGGCCTGAAGCAGGATATTCTGAAGTACTGTCCTACATTGTCTTGGCAAAGTTCAGTAGTCCTTTCTTTTGTGACCTGCTTGTCCAATTTGGACAGAATACTGTCAGCAGTCAAAGCAAGGGCAATTTCTTGCCCAGTGGCTAACTTTTGCCACAAAGAAAGTGAACTCCATGTGGAGTTTCTTCAATGTCCATCATCTTTTCTTAAGTAGATTGGTGCTGCCAGGAGCAGACATGTCTCACTGTCGAAAAGAGAACCTATGGGTTTTTTTTGTTTGTTTTCTGTTTTTGTTTTTGTTGTTTTTTGCTTGCTTGAAGACAGGGATTTTATTTTGTCATAAGACATCTTTGCACCCAAATTGTTCTCTGGACCCTGTGAACAAGATAACAATGAGCAAGTCCAATGCAGGGATGGATGTCCAGTTCCTTTGCCCTTATAGGGCTCTTCCCATTCACCATAGATCAGAAAACTTTGACACTGGTCTAAGGTGGCAAATTTGGAGGTAGCATTTTGTAGAGTATTTCTCTCTTGTAAAATTCCTCATCAAGAGACAGGCTAGGTTTGCCTGCAGATGAACCCAGGTCATACCTGGGTTCCAGACAGTCCCAAAAGGATGATCCCTCTCTTCCTGTTACCAGCCTGTGTTTTCCCAACCCTGGGAGTAGAAGATAACTTACTGTGTCCTGCATGTGTCCTAGCCTGTCTTGTCTTTGGGGATCAGTCTGCCATGGACAACACAACACCTGCATCCAGGGGCCGGAGGCAGAAAGGACTTTGCATTAGAGGGAAGAGATCGGTGATTCACAGCCCTAGACAGACCAGCTCTCATTGACCTGCATCTCAATGGGTCCAGCTTGGACGGGTGCTGGCTGGTGAGCCCAGTCAAAGAGAGAGGCAAGGAGGGGCTTCCCCTGGAAAGCTGCTGCACCGAGCAGCTGGGTTGTCTATCTTCCTACAACAAAGGCAGAGAGAAAGAAAGGAAAAATGAAGGCATTCCAGCCCATTCTCTTGAGAAACAGCTCATCGTTTCTGAGGTCTTATGGAGAATGAAAGGGTACCATGAAGGACTGCTCTCAGGTTCCACAACTCCCAATTGCCACCTGTGTCCTTCAGGCCAACTAGAGAGCTAAAGATATCTCCCTGCGGGGGACATAGAAATGGAGGTTCTGGCAGCCTGAAGATCTCAGCCTTCAAGTGGCTAAAGCCACCCCCATTCCTCAGTAGAGTGTCTGCCTCCCTGCTGCCTTTGAACCTGTGCTGAGCATTAAAAATAGCCTCTCTGCCCACCTAGGGGAAATAGCGAGAAGAGGCACCACCCAACAACACACAGCAAGAGTCTCCAGGTTCATCCTCAGATGGCACATTGCCCACGGTACCCTGCAGCTAGGAAAGCCTCAAAACACCAAACAACAATGCTCCCCTAATTGGCCAATGCAGGATGGTGGGGAATTGGAGGACTTTGCAGCCAGGCTCTAGGGGCTGACACAGGTGGAAAGGCCAGAGGGTGGGATTGGGGAAAGCAGATGGCTCCCTTGGTTGGATGGCAACAGATGTTTGCTTGGGTTTGCTGTGGCACAGTCCTCTAAGCCCACCCAATGCTGTTAGTGTCACTTTACAATGGCCAGCCCTGAGTCTTGTTCTCTATAGAACTTTCTGAAGCTTTAATTTTATTTCCACACCTCCTGGACACCATAGCCCCTTTGGTCCCCCTGTAACCTTGGAAGTTATGGAAGCTTGGGTCAAAAGAAAGCAAATCACTCACCCAACGGCACAGTTAGTAAAGTCAGGATTTGAGCCCAAGTTCATTTCTAGGCCAAATGCACTTGACACTAACACACTGGGAACGAAAACATAGCTGTCAACATACATACGCATAGACACATACACTCTTTACTAAAATCACTGTGAGCTGCATCCAGCTATGAAAGACAGACATTTCATGTGTCCATCACCCTGCTTCCCACAACAGGAAGGAAGTCATCCAGCCAGGTGTTGATCCTATATAGCTTGTCACTCTCCACCCATGCTCATATCCCATCCCATGAATATTTCCAAAATGCTAGCCGCACTGACTCAGTACAGTTCTTTCTAAATATCCCTGAAGTCCTAACTTAGAGTCATAAGAGAGAGAAAAGAATGCAGTGACCAGACCAAAGGTTTTGAAGCCTATCCTAGCTATAGTTCCATCTGGGATCTACCTTTCCTTGACACTGCTGGTGCTCCTTCCCCAGAAGGTGCCACTGTATAAACAATGTTTGTGTGGCCAGGAAATAGAAACAAAGCCACAATCAGGAAGTGGCTGGGGCCATGAAGCAGTTAAACACAGGAATGGACTCCTCTGGGACCTAGCATATTGGGACACTCCAGGAAGCAGGATGAAGCCTCTGGAAGGATATTCATAGTGGACTTCATACAGCAGGTGGGCTAGAGCTCACAAGGCTATCATCCCCAGATTCTGGAGGAGACTAGCATAGATGCAACATGAACATATTCAGAAGCAGCAGTGTGGTAGGCAGGAGCTGGTTCCTTCCTCTGTCTCATGCCTTCTCAAGACACCTTTTCCATTGCTGAACACTTCTAGGGGTGACCCTTGCCTTAGTAGTTCTTCTCACTCCTTAGAGAATAAAGCAAACCCTTGACCCAAGCACATGGCCAGTTCCTTTACTTGCTGCTTACTGGCCAGGATATGGTCACATGACCACGCCTAGCTGCCAGGGATGCCGAGATGTGTACTCTGGAAGGTTATGTACCCTGCCTGATGCCAAGGGCTCTATAAGAACAGGAGTTGAGGCACTAATACAAGTGGGCTGCTAGATTGCTCTCTCTCTCTCTCTCTCTCTCTCATATATATATATATATATATATATATATATATATATATCGATTTATTTCATGTGTGTGTGTGTGTAATGAGTGATATGAGAGTTGATATCATTAATAAAGGTTAGAATAAAAACACTGTGTTTGCCTTGACCAGGGTTACCTTTGAAAGCAGAAATGCCTGACCAGTTTCTTCCCTTAGAACTTGTATATCTTAAGCCATTGATTCCATCATGAGACACTGCACCTGTAGGCGCTCAGATGACAACTGTGAGGCCCTGAATGGTACCCCTGACACCAGGTTATGCCCAAGGTGTATTTCTGATACGTGGCACAGTCATTTCTGCCACTCTTACTATTGCTATTAAGACTTGGCCAACCTGAGGCCTAGGGCTCTTCTGGTGGCCCCATAACTCTTGAAGTAGGGCTCCTTGGAGACCCTGAAAGAGACCTATGGTGGCCTGGGTCCATGGCCAGCTGTCCCCACACTGCCCCTGTACTGCTCTGCCAGACTTGAGTCCTATCTTAGCCTGCTGAACAGACTGCCTGGCTCTGTGGGGTTCTTGCCAGCTCAGCTGCAAGAAGTGTTTCATCCATCCCGTGCAGCTCATCACAAATGGTCAGCTTGGTGGGGCTCAAATCCAGGCTGTCAGGGTGACTGCGGGACAGCCTGTCCCTTCTTACACGGGGTCTGGAATTCTGGCCAGGCCTTTGGAGGGGTGGCAACTGAAGTAGATGATCTTAAGTCAGGGCTCAGAGACCCCTGCCATATCAGGACCAGCAGCCTTGAGTTCCCCTCACCTTGGTCCCACCATCTGTTTGTCCCAAACCAGCTCAGAGTCTGTCTGCAAGGAGAAAAGTAAGCAATGGGTGTCACAGCTTCACAGCTATTCTTGAAAGCCTAGGAGACTTCCTGTTCCAGCCCATGCTTTTCCAGCCCTTCTGTGTGCATGTCCATCACCCCACATAGAGACAACCTTAGGAATGAGGAGGACAAGAAAACCTGCTGTAGCACCTCAGGGCCCTGAGCCAAATAACCTGAGTAGACAGAATGGTGGATTTTGATTATATATATATATGAGCCAAGGTCAATCTGACCTTGAATTAAACTCCTCCTGCTTTGGTCTCCCAAGGGCTGGGGTTTTACAAGCATGTGTCACCATGCATGGCTATGTTGCTGCCTTATATTTGTAAAAATCCACCTTAGTACCTTAGTATTGGAAAATTTCTACAGACCTTTATGTAGACAGCCAGCCCTCCATCATATCCTGGGTCTTCTCATGGGAGAATCCAAACAGCCCAGCGTTTCTATAGCACTGACCTTGGCCTATATCTAGATAAGCATCTAGAGATGACTGAAGCTTTGGGAAGGGTTGTGAGGGGGGGCGCTACTCAAATAATACATCAAGCTACATGAGGTACCTGAGCATCTCAGACTTGGAGAGTTCTGGACCTTCTCCCCAATGTAAGATGAGTCAGAGCTGTGTGAAACAAGCTAAGGTCCGAGCACAGAGGTGCTGAGCACAGTTCAGACCCAAGTTCCTGGGAATGGAACACATTGCCAGTCTCCACAACCCTTGGGCAGGCAGAAGTACAACACCCTCTCTTGTGATCCCACGAGCTGACAGCATCTCCTCCTCTCAGGTGGACATATACGACTCCGACCCACTCATCTGCCGCGCAGGGGTAAAGGTGTGCTTTGGCATACAGCTGCTGAACGCCGTCTCGAGGGTGGAGCGCGCGATGCCCAAGCTGACACTGCCATTCCTGCTGCTGCAGGGTTCTGCTGACCGGCTGTGTGACAGCAAAGGTGCCTACCTGCTCATGGAATCATCCCGGAGTCAGGACAAGACACTCAAGGTAAGAGACAGGAGGCCGTGTCCCAAGGGGTCCCGAGGGTCAGCCTGGCTGGGAAGTAATGGTGAGGAGTTCCAGGCAAATGAACTTTGTGACAACACATGGGTCCCCAGCCCATTGCTTCACAAGAATGAACCTCACAGAGAAGAGACTCATCTGATGGTATGTGCAAGAAAAAAGCCTGCAGCTGGGCACAGGAGACAATGTTTTACCCAAGCTGCAGGGCTCCCTGCAGTGCCCCAGTACCCTCTGAACCTGCTACAACTCAGGGTCCACAGATCTTGGGGCCTCAGGACACAGGGACCATGGGGTCAGGGAATGCAGGTTCCAGGGCACTTGGATGAGTCTGGTCTGCAAGGGCATCTGCAGGAGTTCACCTTGTGGTTGGGATCCCTGAGGACAGGTCAATACTTGATGATGTAACATGTTTGACACAGGGAACAGAGTACCACTCAGTGACTTTCAAGATAGATGCTTTTTGAGTCCAGATATACTTGCCTATGTCCCACTGAACTAGGAGGCAACCCGACTGAGGAGGCGAGGCCCTACTGGGTACCAAACAATATGGAACCCTGAAACTGAAGCATACCTACACTCCCTTGCCCACATTATTGGGCTCCTGGTCTGTGCAGGTGTAGGGGTGCCATAGAATCTGGGTTACATCCTCACTGTGTTACAAAGACAGGTTATTCTTCAAGAGTGGTAGAGGTCAGTATTTGAACTGAGGTCCTTGGAGTTGAGTCCTCAGTCCCTCCAAACCCTGCACCATTCTGGAAGAGACTCATATCTTTGCAAATTATCAAGGGCTTATCTGTAATGGAGCTCTTGCCTCATTCAGGGAGGGCCCCAGGGTTCCATCCCAGCTCCAAGCTCCCAGAGAATTAACTTTTCACTCAGCAGTCTCCCATCACTTCTGCAACTCTTATTTATTGAGTTCTGACTTAGTGAAGGTCATGCAGACATCTGACAAAGACTGACCCTCTCTTGGAGCCTGCACCCCACAGTAGGTGAACAAAGAGAAAATGGATGCTCAGATTGTCTATAGACAGGGTCAGTCTGCAGGACAGAGGGATGCTGGGGCACTCCCCTCCTATGAAGCAGGCAAGCCAAGAATTTACAGGGAGAATAGCCACGACAGAACATTCCAGAACAAGCAAGGGAAGTTGGGGGAGGGGACTTGATTTTGGCACAGGGAGCATCATGAGAACAAGGCTGGCACAGGGGGAGGAGCTCATGAGAAACACTGTTCACAGCTGAGGTAAGAAACAAGCATGTCGCCCTCAGATGGGAGATGCCTGTGCCTGTTAGAGCACAATCCCACCTAAAGAGCGAATGTCTGTACCACATGGAGGCTTCTGGAGGATGGTAAATGTATTGAAAAAACAAAATGAGCCAGGCTCAGAAAGCCAAGAGTGGCATGCATGCTCTTATGGACATATGTGAACTAAATCCCTAAACCTACACTATAAACATTCAAATTATGATTCCCAAGGATGGGAGAGTGAGGAGGGAGAGACAGGAGGATAGGTAGGTTAGGGGCAAATGCAGTTAGGTGGCTACGTCCTGGTGTTCCGTAGCTCATTGAATAGTTCCAAAGAGAAGAGGCATGTTGAGTGCTCTTAGCACAGAGAAGTAAAGGACCAGGGGCAATGGATGAGATGATTGCTCCACACAGTATTGAAGGATGCTCCTGGGGTTTAGGCCTGTAAAAGCAAGGAGACTGCAGTGCCCCCTCTGAGACGGGTGACCCCAGCAGACAGCAGAGAGAAATCTTAAGGCAAATGGCTAACTAGAAGAAGGCTAGCTAACTAGAGGGACATTTTAGTCAGCCATGTAGTACGGGTTTCTAAGCCATGAGTGGCTACTAGGTTGCTAGGACTGTAGGAGCCACCAGCAAGGGAGGGAGCGGACAGGGGCCACTAATCTGCCTCTGAACACTGCTGGTAAGTCCAGAGTCATCCAAGCTACAAGTGACCGGGTAGGACAAATGAGATCCCAGGAGACCTTGCCAAGGGCCACTGCTGTGCACTGGGGGTTGGAGGCGGAGACCTGGGGGAAAGGACAGAAGACGGGGCATGAAGATGGACAGAGCTTCCTGGCAGGAAGGTTCTGGGGATCTAAGCTGTACCAGCAGCTGGAGAGCCCTGGGAACAGCATGGAATGTCCAGATTGTTGCAAAATTGTCATTTGTGATTAGAAGGTGCTAGCTAGAGCAGGACGGAAGGGATCCATACCTGCCTTCTCAGCTACCAGGAGCCTGAGGTGGGACAATGGCTAGCCATGTAAGGCTAGCTTAAGCAACATGGCAGTGTCCCATCTGAAATGAACTAGGGGGAACACTGGGAATGATTGCCGAGTGAGTGCATCATAAGTATGACGTTGTGTGCCCTGCCCGACCCATACACCAGGTCTAATTCCCTGGCCCTTCTGATTACAGATGTATGAAGGTGCCTACCACGTTCTCCACAAGGAACTTCCAGAAGTGACCAAGTCCGTCCTCCATGAAATAAATATGTGGCTTTCTCACAGGACAGCAGCAACAGGCGCTGGGTGCCCACCCTGAATGTACTGGCCAGGCAATCAGCTCGTGGTCTTGGGGGAAGCAGGTAGAGGAAGGGCAGTGCCGGCTGGCTTGAAAAAAAAAATCACAAATTGGAGGGAACCCTAGTGCAATTTACTCTGAAGGAAAAAAAATGATAATTTGTCATATATAAGGCTATTGGCCACTGTCTCTACCACCCTTGGGGGTAGGCACTTTATAAAAGAGGGAGTATATTTTCCACACACAGACTGTGTTGGAATATCCTTTGATTAAAAAATTCAGCCTCTGCCCTCCTCTCCCAGCTCCCGTGGGGTTCAGGGACTCTCTCGTAGTCCCATGTCCCAGCCTGCAATAATCAGAGGTCTCTCTCCTCCTGTCCCAAGCCTTCTCTGACTGGCTGTTCTCTGGCATGTGATGAGGTGGCCTGTGTCCCCAGAGCTAGCTCCTTAGTAGGCTCACGTGCCCCTCCGAGGCACTTCCTCAAAATGGGCAGCCACCCTATGACCTGGTCAGTGACTTCTCAGATGGAAGCCAGGCGTTGGGGAGGGAGGGTGGCCCTGAAGCTCTTCTCCCCACACAGCCCTTCCCCCTGCCGGGAGTTTGGTTACCCAGAGCATGTCGTATGCATTGAGAAAGGCTCTTTTTCTCAGGTTACTAAGTACTCCATGCTGAGGAGGGTGGCTTTGAAGATAAATGTTTAATATATATGGTATATTCTAAAGACTATATGGGTGGGGGTGGGGGGGTGGAGCCTGGACATCTTTGGAAGAACTGGTACCCACACAGGGCCAGTCTGCTGAAGGTCCCAGTCCCCTAAATGAGGAAAAAACAGAGGATAGAGGACTGTGGCCTGGGCTGTCCCTCTGTCCAGAGTCAACTAGGAGTCGCTTGCCAGTAGCATAGCTACCTCCGGTGGCAGGGGAGACTCTTATGAAGCCATGGTGCTGCCTGCCTGCCCAGGGCAGCAAGAGCACTCAGTGGCCACCCACAGACAAGGACCACAGCTGTCTGCACCCCATCGCAGGCTGCAGCAGGATGGCTCAGCCAGGCCTCATAGAGGCCGCCCTGGAGCAGTGAAGTCCAAGCCCCGTGTCCTCTCAGGTGCCCGTCCAGAGGCCTGCCCCAGGCCTCACTTAGTGCCAGCAATAACTGGGGCTCACTGCCCCCTTGGAGCACTTTCATCTTTACAGAGGGGCTTGCTGTTACCTCAGGATTCTTGTTAGTGCACATAGGACCCTGGGAAGGGGGCGCTGCTGCCAGGGAGAACTGCTTGGCTGCAGGGAGGGGTGAGTGGACCCTTGATCCTCCAGAAAGCTGCAATTCAGGGCCCTATGGTCTTGAAAGAGGCACCTGTCAACCCTAGGCTCTGTCATTTCTGGAGTTTATTCTAAGACCTGGGGAGGACCCTCTGCCCTCTCTGGTGGCCCTGACCATGCATGGCAGTCAGAAGCTGGCCACCTACTACAGGCCATAAGGACACTGTGCCCCTCAGCAGGGCCAAGCACTGCATACAGGGAAGGCAGTGTCCAGAGCTGTCCAGAGGCCTCTCTTAGCTCTGCATCTCTTTAGAAAAAAAGACAAAGTGTGCTAAGAAGAGGGGCAGTCAGCACCCCCAGCTGTTCAGGGAACCCTGGACAGCAGCAGACAGGCAAGGGGTGTTTCTGTTCTCCATTAAGAAAAAAAAAAAAAAAAAAAAAAAGGACCCCCAACTCCAGACTGCTGTGCTCCAGGGCCCAGATCTGTGACTCTTCTCAGGAGCCACCCAAGCTGCTCCCAGAAGCACATGCTGACAATGTCACTTTGCAAACCACATGCTGGTACCTGGGCTGGTAGCATTCGTGCATGACTTCATCTACAGAGATGCATGTACTTCTGGTTAAGGAATCGCTAACACTAAAAAGGGGGACATGGTCTGAAATTAGGACTCTCTTGTGAAACCTGAAGAGGGGACAGGGACATGAATGCATCATGTCCTGCATGACAAAACCTGTCTGTAGAGGGCTGGGCCGGCCAGCCGGCCAGCCTTGTGCAGACTCTGCCCTTGGTACTGGAGGAAGCCTGACAAGCTGGGCTTCATAGTCACCCCATCACCAGGATGCAGAGGGATTGGGGTGTGGGAGGGATATGAAGAAGGTGGGAGCCAGCAAGGGGCCACGAGAGCCCTGCCCAGGTGACGGAGAGGGGACCCAGACCCAAGCACCTGTAAGAACACAGCGCCTTCTCCAACAGGACGGACTTAGTGCCTGAAAAGCTTCTTAGGAAAGGGCACCACCTGCAGGTAGTGGGCGTCTCAGCCACTAAGTCCCAGTTCCTCGGTATCCTGTAGGGGAACAGCCTCCCACCACCATGGCCCCTCAGCTTCTGGATGTCCTGGGACCATCGTGAGAGTAGTTGGGGTGCTCTAATACCACAGGGCTCTGCTCAGACCCCACCCCAGGCCACCTCACACTTCCCTTTCTCTTCTGATTGCTAATGTAACTTTCTAGGGATCACAGTGGCTCACTGGTTTGTTACTGTCACCGCGCTCCCCATGTGTACTCTTAGTGGGGATCCTGTACCGGCTTAGAACTAAAGAAACCAATGTGCACTACAGCTCACCGTAATAAATCACATGCTTTTGGAGAGTCCTGTGTCTGTCTGGCCTCTTGTTCTGTGTGTCTACCCTTTTGCTAAGAGAACCACAGGCCTGTGCTGGAAGCAGTGACACATCAATGCCAGTCACCTGACGTGAACTCAGCAGCCCTTCCAGGGCCAAATGCCAACCGGACACATGGATTGTGTCTTCTCCCATCCATTCTTGGGGAGGCCATGCTGAATCATAGATTCATCCCTCAGCACCCCCATCCAACCCCACCCTCCAGTGCTCAGGCAGCCTTAACAGCTTGCTGCTCTGTTGCTGTCCTGTTGGGTGCCCAGGATGGCCAAGCCCCATCTTCACCCACGTCTACTCCCTGACCAAGAGTAATCCAGGACATCTATTGCTGGTGTCCTGGGCACCTCCCCTTGCTCCCCATCGTCTCCTGACCTAACAGCTCTGCTTTCAGAGTATTGGCACCAAACCTATCACTATAACTGCTGGGAAACAGCAGGAGTGCCCGACAAGTCAGAAGTGAGCCTCCCCTATGCAATGGCCTCGTGGGACCCCAGCTCACTAAAGGCCGAGGACCCTACTAAGAGTGGTTTCTTACCTGTGGCACGAATAGCCTCACCATGCCCTGTCCCTAATGGATACGATACACTATTTGTCCTCTGGGCAGCCCTGTCTTTTACTTGGGTTGTGAGGTGAGAAGTACCTGTTCCAACTATTGTCCAGAGGGTCCCCCAGAAATGCTTTGTCATGGGGGCTGTAGAGGGAGGGAGGGAATGAACAGGAGGAGGGGCAGAGGGAAAGAAGTAACTAAATGAGCACAGGGGGTGAGAATGAATGCATGAAGGTGAACAAAGAAGAAAGGAGTGTCAAAAAAAATAAGACAGTTCCTACTTCAAAGAGGACATATGAGTATATATGTATATATGAGTTTATATGAGTGATGATGGCCTGGGAACATGGATTCAGATCACTACAAATTCTAGGTTCCAATGACATTCTTACAGTAACTGAACTAAGAAATTCATGAATCAAGGCACTTCAAGGACATTGATGGAAACATCAGATACACAGGTGTTAGTTGTCTGTATAAGAAATGTCCCCTATAAGCTCTGGTATGTGAATATCTGGTTCCCTGTTGCTGGTGCTGTTTACAGAGGCTATGGAGCCTTTAGGAGTCTTGCTGGAGAAGTACATCACTGTGAATGGACTAAGTCACTCCTGCTCATGGTGCTTTGTCTCCGCAACAAAAAGTAACACAGCAAATGGAAGAAAAATCAGGAAGTCTCGGCTGTACTCTTACTCTTTGGGGGCCTGCCACCCAGTTCCCAAATTAATACATGGAGACTTAATCTTATGAATGCCCGGCCTTAGCTTTTCTGTTTAGCTTTTCTTAAATTATCCCATCTACCTTTTGCCTCTGGGCTTCTACCTTTCTCTATTCTATATACCTTTCTTTCCTTCTTACACCACAGCTGGTTGTGTGGCTGGTGGCTGGCCCCTGGATGTGTCCTCTTCCCATGCCTCCCTCTTCTTTTATTCTTTCTGCCTGGCAGCCCCGCCTATCCTCCCTCCTGCCTTGCTATTGGCCGTTCAGCTATTTAATTAGCCCAATCAGGTGTTTTAGGCAGGCAAAGTAACACAGCTTTACAGGGTTAAACAAATGAAACAAAAGAATGCAACACATCTTTGCATCATTAAACAAATATTCAACAGCATAAACAAAATGTAACACATAGTAATATTCCACAACACTCTACTATAGACCACGGATGCTAACTGATGACATTCTTAGCTTTTGGTTGATGAAAGCTGCTGGTCTGTTAGGTTAACACATTTCAAAGGATTTTGCCTGTTAATCACAAGGACGTTTGGACAGACACAGAGGTGGGCAAGGAATGGCTCTTAAAGAGGCTGAAGATAGCCCGTGATAAATTGTTGTTAGGCTCTGGACCTACACACAGTTTCAGCCTCTCTACAGCCTTGGAAGTTCTAATTAGCCTTACAGAAGGTTCAGTGGCAGATAAATCATCTTTCCAGGAAATCTGGTTCACAGGAATGAGAGGGAATGGACGAGCCACTAAGGAAGGAGCAGTGGGCATGCACCTTTCAAAGAACAGAATAGAAATTGCATCTGGTACTTATGTTAGAACTGACTTGCCTGTGACATGGCTGGGAAATGAGGTACCAACCAGTCAGGGAAGAGGAAGGGGGCAGGACTCAAGACACAGGACATGGTTGGTTATTGGCAGATAAACCTGCAGCATGGAGACCTGCAGAGAGAGAGAAAGACATGGCAGCATAGGGAAAGGACAGAAGAGCGGAGCAAGGCCCAGCCAGCAGTGGGGCAAAGCTGCTCAAGATGTAGGTGACAGGTGTCTCAGGATCCGGGAGAGAAGAGAATACCCACTCCTCTGACCACTGCAGGAAGGAGACTGCCTGTCAGCCCATGATACTCACTGCATTTTCTGGAGTTGTGGTTCTGCTTCCCAGGGAGGCAGAATTCCCATGATGAATGACTGGTGGCGCCTGGCGCCTGGCCCCTGGGGGTGGTGGGCTTCTGTGGCAGGTTGGAAACCCCAAGGGTGTCATAGTATGATGTTTTACTCTTTCGGCTTTTTGAGGGGCTGTCACCTAGCTTCCAAATAAATCACACATGAAGGCTTATTCTTAGTTAGAAATGCCTGCTCTTGGCTTGTTTCTTGCCAGATTTTCTAAAATTATCCTGTCTACCTTTTCCCTCTGGGCTTCTGTCTTCTGTACTCCTGTATCTTACCCTTTCCTTCTTACTCTGTGACTGGCTGGCCCCTAACGTCCTGCTCTCCTTGTTCTCTTGCTCCTCTTCCTCAGTTCTCTTTCTATTTATACTCTCTGCCTGCCAGCCCCACCTATCCTTGCCCCTCCCTCATCATTGGCCGTTCAGCTCTTTATTAGGACCACCAGGTCGTTTTAGACAGGCAAAGTAACACAGCTTCACAGAGTTAAACAAATGCAGCATAAACAAAAGTCACACATCTTTACATCGTTAAAGAATGTTCCAGAGCATAAACAAATGTAGCACACCTTAAAAATAATATTCTACAGCAAGTGCAGTGATTTGCTACAACCACAGCTGAGGCAGAGCCACACACCCCTCTGCCCCTACAGCAAGGCCTAAAGGCCAACATCATGGAAAACTACTGAAGCCTGAGAACCTCCATTCCTGTCTCCAACACCTGGACAGATGTCCCCATCCCGAGGACCCAAGAAAGCCCACCACAGGTATTCTAACAGTCTACCCACAAATCCTGCAGAGAGAGGGTGACCTACACAGCCAGTCAACTTGGTTCAGAGGCCCATTCATGTCTGACCAGAGAAACCAGCCACTTTCCCCAGATGCCCAGGCCTTCAAACTGTTCAGTACATAACCAAAGGGCTAGGATATGGCTTGGGAGAGGCGTGTAGGTTCTGGGTTCCAACACACTGAAATGACAAGTGTGTTTTCTTCATTCTAAAACCCCAATATAGATGCTATACTGATCCATCCCCTCAGATCCTCAGAGAGAGCTTTAGAAACTGCTTTTGCCAAAAGGCTCTGGCTTCTCATTTGGTCCCACAAAGCAGCAGCAGGGCGACAGTCGGCATCTCTGCCTTTGTTTTGTGACTGTTCCCCATTGGGTCAGCTGCTCACCTCATATTAATCACATCCTGCTTCAAATTCAAAGGCACAGAAATAGTCATTGCCCTAAAACTGCATTGACTTTGGAATCCAGGAACTTCAGAGCCCAGAATGACAGACTGCCCCTCCATGGCAGGCCAACCTTCGGGACAGGACACCATCCCTCAGATGAAGGCAGTTGTCCTTGATTGGAGAAACTGCACCCTGAAGCAAAAGTATTTGTCCTATAGGACCAGAATCAGAGCTGAAACCATACCTTGACCAGGGCTGCTGAATGCTACACCATCAGCTGAGGCCTCCATGGCTGCTGCTCAGCAGATTACACTGCAAATGAACCTCAGGGACCTGTTTATCCTCCTGGGTGCTCACAGGCGCGCCCCCTGGTGGCTGACAGGAAGCTGTGATTGACTTAAATGGAATTCTTCACACAAACGATGGCCAGAGTGTGGCCCTGAGAGGTGCAGATGTCCCTTTCTGGATCTATGAACAGGGATGCACATTGTGCTCAGAGTGGTGTTGAGTTTACAAGGCCTCAGACTCTGAGCCTGAGCCGTGACACTAGCTGTGGAGCTAAGCTCCTCACTCAAGAGGTGCAGCCCTGAGACAGATGAGAAGGATCCACCTCTTCTGGAACACTGGGTAGCTGTTAAAACTGACAGGCATGGTGCTTTGTGCTTCTGACCCTAACACTTGGGAGGTGGAAGCAGGAGAATCAGAAGTTTAGGGATGTTCTAAGCTACATGGCCAATTTTGAAAGTCACTCTGGGGTACGTGTCCCAGTCTCAAAAGAATCCAGTCTTAAAAAAAAAAAAAAATCACTGTTATGAGACGTTCTCATGTTCGTTTTTCTATAAACAAAACCTAAAGACACTTTGAGATGGAAGCAGTGTGACACCCTGACTAGTTAGTTTGCTTTTGAAGTATGCCTGGCTGCTCTGAACAAAAGAACTGTCATCTCCTCATCTCCACTCCCTTCTGCCAGCACCGGCCATCTGGAACATTCCACAGACACCTTAAGACAACTATGAAAGTTCCCTCCCACATAGGAGTGCCCCAGCTCCTGGAGGCACAGCCTTAGCCAGGGCTGTGTGAACCTGGGTGAGAACTAGATGACTCTTGTAGCATTGCCACCTAAGCCAGAGGGGCAAATCCCCTGGTGGTCTAACAGATGGACTGCAGTGTCTGGTGCTGTGGTTGGACCAGATAGCTCTTCTCAAGCAGTATAAGCAGGCTGCTCAGGCTCCCTCCTGAATGGCAGGGAGATCCTCCAGTGCTCCCTACCCTGCTAGCATTAGTCCCAGGAAGGGGCTTCTTTAAAGAGGTCTTTCTTTGTAGTCATGTGGGCTGAGCTGATAACAGAAATCACCGCACAGTGAAGGCAGAGACAGCATCAGTGACAAGCGAGTAGTCAACAGGCTATGATGCCAAAGGGACATAGCAGAAGCAGCAGCTGACCTGTTAGTTCAAGAGCTGCCAGGGCAGGAAGGGGAGCAGGAAGAGCAGAAACTGTCAACAGTGGTGACTGAGGCACAGAAAAAGCTGGAAGGAACCAGGGAAGAGAAACTGCAGGCCCAGGTCACTAGAGGAGTTTCCCAAGAACTGGCTTCAGGGCCAAAGGTCCCAAACCTTGGGCCAAGACAGTGTTAAGGACAAAGTAGACCTGCCAGGCTACACCAGAGTGCAACCCCGGCTGCTGCCAATAGCTGAGGAGGCAGATTTCTAACGTGCACACAAGAGCTGTACCACTTACAAGGCTACAGTCTTGATAGCCAAGGCTGCAGGGACAGTGGGTACCACCTGCTGCTGCCAAACACACAGGAAGAACAACCGAGACCAACACCAGAAGAGCATCTCCTTTCCCATGGTTTCTAGCTGGGTAGACTCAGCAAAAGGACCCTGGCCAGCTGATGGCAGCAACACTATCAGGACCTACATGCTACTCAGGCTACTATGGGCTAAAGCCCAGAGCAATGAATCCCCAACCTGAGAACCTGGAGTCCTGACTCTGGTTTCTATAGCCTAAAGCAACCAGACCCCAGCTCTCTGCACCCTCTGGCTCTGCCAGTCTAGCCCTTGGGACAGCCCACTGGAGAATATCTCACCTGCTCACAATTGCTGTCTGGGCAGAGCAGGAAGGATCTCATTGCCTAACAGTAGCAAGGTTAGTTACTTACAACACTAGGGTTTCTGCCTTACGTTAAATTGAGGAACTGGGCATGCATGCTGTTTGGGGAACTCGGTTCCACTCTCATCCACAGCCTGGCTCCTTGGTGACCTGACTGCGGCATCAATAAACCTAGAGAATATGGATTCTGGGGCACTTAAAATTCCTTTGCTCAAAGCCAGGCAGTGGCAGCCCAAGCGTTTAATCCCAGCACTCGTGAGGCAGAGGCAGGCAGATCTCTTTAAGTTTAAGGTCAGCCTGGTCTACTGAGCAATTTCCAGGACAGGCTCCAAAGCTACACAGAGAAATGCTGATTCAAAACAAAAACAAAACAACAAAAATTCCTTTGCTTGTGTTATTGATGTCTGATGGGAAATGGAAACTTTCTGATTTCAAATAACACCTATTCAAAAGAGGGACTTGATTTAATAATTAATCACACATGGAAAGAAATGTATGTTATTTTAAAGCGTTCCCTTTACCTTGTGAAGTTAAGCCCACATGTCCTAAACTTCATGTGGCCTGAGTTCCGGTCCTCTCTGTCCCTGTGATTTCAAAGCACAAGCTTAAAGCTGCAAGTCACTGCCACACCCCTGCTTGGCTGGTACCTCCCAGCTGGTGGTGCCTGTGTATGCTTCACAAACACCCAGGCTCACCACAGACCAGCCTTCTCAGGTAACCACACACTGAACTCATCTCCCCAGCTTGGAACACAGCAGCAACTCAGACCCTGAGAGGGCCAGGTACAAAGGCAGAGCCGGTGAGACCCTGTCTCCCCCTCTGCCTGTGGTGGGCTCTGGAGCAGCTGCCTTCTATCTTTGCACCACTCTGCCTGAAAGCCTGACTGAAGGCAACTTGTCCCAGCTGGTAGCTTCAGCTCTTCCTCCAAACGACCAACATACAAGAGCAAAACAAATGAAAAGGCATTGGTGATGGAAAGGGAAAAAACATCTAGAAAGTTCTGGAAAATGACAAGCACAAAGACAGGGAGATCTATAGCTTTCCAGGGTAACAAGCACAGATAGATGGCTGTCCAGGACTGGGGCCAAAGCAAGGGTCTATGTGAGTGACGGGAGTTGTGGTCCATAGACCTAAAGGCACCCAGGAAATACTCTCTCTCTCTAATGTCTTGGTCTGTATAGTTAGGCCATGGAGTCAGACCTGCTGTGGTTAAGTGGCAGTGGTAAAGGCCTGACTGTCTCAGAACCTGTTCTCCAAGCATCTGGGTCACCCTCCGTGGAATGTTCTTGCTGAGAATTCTCAAACCCCCAGCCCACAGTCCCAGCTTCCCCTCCTTACCAGCTCCACTCCCCAAAGCCTGCCCTCCCAAGCTGTACCCCAACAAAGGCTCAGGTCTCCACAGTGAATTCAAGCTTTATTGCCACACACACACACACACACACATACACACACACACACACACACACACACCATTTCCTGTCCAACCCTGTACATGGAAATACCCAAAGCAAACCAGGGCTGGGTGAGGGCCAGGAGGGGAGGAGGTGGGGTTCTGGGGGAGAGGGGACTGAGTTCAAAGCCTACCATACCCCAGCTTTCCCTGAGTGGTGCCAGCCCCAAATCTCGGGGCTTATTTGTGCACTAGGGGAGGAGGCTCATTCCAAGAACACCCTGTGAGGCCCCCAGGCGCCCAATGAGTCTCCTCTGCCCACTGTGATGCCACCAAGCGTGCAAGAGCAACAGTTCTTGCATGCACACACTGCGCATGCTTGTCACCATAGGAGCCCAAGCTGCAGGGCTGCCGGATGGCAAGGGCTCAGCAGTCTAAGCCAATGGACACAAGCAGGTCCTCAAGTGCCCGCAGTCGCTGCTGCGCCTCTTCAATGGCACTGTAGGTCTGGACTGTGCTAGCCACATGGAAGCGGATGTCATCGACAAGTGGAATGGAGTCTGTCTCCTGCCGGGCGGCCACAGCTGCTGCCTCTTCCCGCACGGCCTCCACAAAGTCCTCTCGCTCTACCAGCTACAGAAGAACAGGCTCAGGGCAGGCTGTATCCCTGCGCAGGCTGTATCCTGCCCTCACAGCCTCCCCTCTCTGCACCCCTGCCCACCTTCTCAATGACTTTGGCCATGTACTCGGTACACTGGTCCTCCAGCCGGGCCAGACGAAACATCTTGGCTATGCGCCAGACACCCACCACACTGTCCTCCTCCAGGAGCTGGGCCAGGATGCGGCCACAAAGCCGCTTCAGGCCAGGTAGAAGGTACATGTCAGCCACACTCAGCACGTCATAGGCCAACTCAGGAGGCAGCTGGGGAACAAGAAGGGACATAGGGACACCAGTGATCAACAAGGGCCGCCCAGGGCCCAGGGTGGAGGTCCCAGTGGGAACACGAGTGACGTAACTCTGGAGCCTGGCCCAGGTCCTTGAGGGTGCAATGAGCAAAAGAAACTGGGGGTAGAGGGTCCCAGGCCTAAGGCAGACCAGTGCTTAGGGCTGGAGGCCTTCCAGGCAAAGCAGTATGGGCTCAGTCACAGACTTGAGTTCTCCACATCCAGCTGTGACAATCCAGGTAAGTCCCTTCACATCTCTGTGTCTGTTTCCTCATCTGTAGAGATACCCATGCCTACCTTGAAAAGCGGTTAGTAAAGCGAGCTGGAGATTTCTATTTCTAGGCATGGGCATGGCTCCTCCACCGTGAGAGACCACACAGAACTGAGCAGGGGACAGCGCGGGCCTTGGCTGAGAAAGACCAAGGGTCCAGCTTCAGCCTGACCTTGGGTGGCTCAGAGACTGAGCAGAAGGGAAAGAAAAGGACTGTGCCCCTGCACTTCAGGCTGCCACCCTGCCGTCTAACTGACCTGTGGCCATGCGGTCACATGCGTAAGACTCGGGGAAACACATTTCTCTCCCATCTCCTTCGGGGATTCACTGAAGCACTGAGCAGGCGTGTAACCTGCTTAAGATCACATAGCCCACAAGGGACTAATCTACTGTTAGGCCATGTTCGGAAGCTGATCCCCACTCTGAGCTATTAAGAATGTTCTTGGGGTTCTAAGCTTCTTCAGGAGGAAACTTGTGACTCAGGATGACAGACTCAACCACAGAGTGAGTGGCAGACCATGAGAAAGGAAGTGAAGGGTGTAGGCAGAAGGGGGGCCAATGGCAAAACCTAGTGTGTGTGTTTGGGGGTGTGGGGGGGTGCTGATGGGAGCTGGAGGGCCAGGACTGGGATCAACAGGAAGTGGGACAGGTACACACATTCCTGTGGCTCCGTCTCAGTTGTAGAGGACAAAACCAGGGCAGGATAGGAGCCATAGCCTGAGGGTCAGGGCCACCGTTCCTACACACAACTTTCCTGGAGCATGGCATGCCCGGCGGGGCAGCCCTGCAGATACCACTAGGCCCACCAGGCCCCAAACATTACCGTCTGAGGAAAGGTCTGCGGAAATGCCCTGGAGAAGCCAGACAGAGGGACACCTGGGTCCCCAGCAAGCCAACTGGCCTCTCAGACCAGTGGAAAACATACTTCTCTCCTGCATGCTGCCCTGCTACAGTGCTGTGCACACACACCTTGGCACTGTCTACTGCCATTTACAGGCCCGAGTCAGGAATTCTAGGGCAGCTAAGGGCAGGGATGACCCAAGAGCCCAGAACCCCAAGGACCTTGACAACCCTAAGGCACACAGCCCAGGGCTCCATTTCCCACTGCCCTCCCACTGGGTGCCACACCTCAGTATGGTCACTGTAGACATAGTACAGCACATGAGTGAAGATATCTGGGGAGATGTCATGCAGGGTGACAACTGGGGGGTCTCCAGAGGCTGCAGGTTCCTCGCTCTCTCGAAAGTGGTCATCCAGCAGAGCCCGGAAGTAGTCACTGCGGCCACAGAAGAAAGCCTGAGAGAGAAGATTCAGAAAGTACCGGGACTGGATCTGCCCCCAAGGAGCTAGCCCAAGTAGGGATAGGAGGGGGACAGGCACCTTGTGGCAGAGGAAGCTGGAGTCAGCCACTCGGAAGCAGATATCAGGGCAGCTGCTGAAGCCATCGGGACACGGGAAGGGCAGCTCTCCTAGGTCGCCCTGGTATAGGAAAGGCACCCATCAGAGCAAAGCTGTTGGCGAGAGGGAAACAGCTTCCCAGGCTGGCCTAGGAGGGGAAGCCAGCAATGTGGAGCCTGCCCTCCACAGCCCCACCCCTAGACACCCCTCCTGCCCACCAGGCCAGAATGCCCTTCAGTACCCGAAGCTCAGGTGGCAGGGCACAGTCAGCCAGCAGTGCCATATCCTCCCGCAACCGGGGATCTGCTGGAGGGGGCTCAATAGTAAGCACCTTCACACACGTGCCAGGCTTGGAAGCCACTGGGAGAAGGACAGCAGGGATTTAGAGATCTGACCAGCACTATTGGTTGTCCCCAAGACCTTAGACTGAGAACCTGTACACACCGAATTCAGACACCTTCTCGCATTTAGCCTCCAGGTCTTCTAGCAGGTCCCACAGTTGGCACTGCTTGGCCAGGCGTTCACAATCACTGACATGTTCCACACCGATGTCTAGGCGACCTGGGGGTATAGGGGGCTGGGTTAGGACCTGAGAGTGATTCCTACTCAATGCCCTGGTTTCCTCATCCAGAAGGACCTAAGACCTGCTCACTTTGTGGATGGGATGTGTTCTTGCCAAGCAAGTCACTGCACCACCTGAGTCAGGATGCTTGTTTGCTGGGCACACCCCTCCTCCCCAATGGTGAGTGGCTTAGAAGGGGCATGTCAGCTCAGGGCCACCCTGAGTGTGCTACTGTCCCAGCCCAGGGGGTCAGTCACCTGTGTACAGGTACTGCAGCAGAGCCCCAAAGGCCACTGGGTTGATCTGTGGGCAGAGCAGAAATAAGAGATCAGAGGCTACCACGCAGCGAGCTATAGCTCGTTCAGAAGTCAGCACTCTCAGCCATTGCAGACAGACGCACCAGGGGGTGCCTGAGAACCACAACGCTCTTGCCCTTCCACTTAGTGTCCAGCATGTTGGCGAAGTAGGTGCTGCGAGCACCGAGGACACAGCGATGCGCCCGGAACGGCTTTCCGTGTACCACGAAGACCACATCACTGTGGATACCTTGTTCCAGAAGCCTGGAAAAAGCCAGGAAGGGAAGCATCACTCGGGCAAATCCGAGTGCATCAAGACTACTCAGTACACCCCGCCCACCTGAACCCACCCAGAGTACGCAGCAACCCCACCAGTGCTGCAAGCTCCGCCCCCAGCTCACCGCTGCAGGAAATCATCGTAGTAATCCCGCCTCCTGCAGGATGCGGTAACCTGTTTGTAGTCGCGCAGTGCACGGCGAATGGGGTCGCTCAGTGCCCCATAGAGACAGCGCTCTCCATCAAAAGTGTTGGCCTCACAGCGGGCTCCTATGAAGCAATGCTCACCAGTCAAAGTCAAGGGACACTGATCTCTGGCCTTCCCCTCCTCCCCAGCTCCCACAAGTAGCGTCCAGAAGCCCTAGAGGCCTTCCTTCCCAAGGTGGCCCAGGCAACCCTTGAGTCCTTGTGAAGGCCAAGGGCACACAGTCCGTGCACCCGTGCACTTAGATGTCAGCATATTCACAAGTACGGATCAGACAATGTGCAGCCTAAGTGCAGACTGGATGGCTGGCCCTGTCTACAGCCGTCTAGCTGACTGGCAGATCTCTGCTGCAACTAAACCTACACTAGTGGGGAATATGAGCATCTTAGTAATGCAACAGCCACCATTATTACAAAACAAAACCAAGGGTGACAATAGGGGTAGCTGCTACACGGGGAAGCTGTGAAGGCAAGTGGGGTGGCTAAGTAAAGGGACTTGGATGAAGCAAGAGGTTCACAGATTTAGGTTAGGAATTCCAGTCTAAGCAGAAGGTACTGCAACTGAAAAGACCTTTGGTGGGAGATGGCTAGGTCTAGTGGGGAACTCAGAAACCAGGCATTGATGGGCAGCCAGCATGGGGGAGACCTAAGGAGTAAGTCCTGTGGAGTTTCACAAGCAAGTCCAGTACTTAAGATAATCCCCCTGCCTCAACTCTCCTCTCTCCCAGTGACTGGATTACAAGTGTGAACAACCATGCCCAATAGCTCCCCCCCTCCACCCCCCAAAAAAACACTCTCAAAATCCCTTCGGCTCTGCTATGGAAAAGATCCCCCTGCCTGCAATACGGGGGCCAGACTGTGGGGGGGGCAAGAGACCAGTTTAGCAAACGGGTGGTGGTATGGTCCAGGGTGACATGGGGAATGGGCAGAGGGTCAAAGAGTACCCGTAGCACAATAAATGACCCAGAGACTGATATAGGGGTTCAGACTTCAAGTTGGAGATCAGAAAAGCAAAGCAGCCTGTCACTAGCTCTTACTCTACCTCAGATGATCCTGGTTCCACCAAACCTCAAACTCTGCCTCTCCTCAGTGTGGCTGGAGAATGAATACTGACTAGTTAAGATCCTGCTGCTATTCTATCCTTCTAGTGCTGGGATTAAAGGTGTGTGACCTCAGGTGCTGAGATCATCTTTGTGTGAGCTGTTTCTCTTTGTGTACCAACACCTCCTAGCTTCTGGCTGCTGGGATTAAAGATACGTATCACCACTGCCTGATCACTATAGCGTGAGGCTGACTTTGCTTTCTGAATCCTCAGGCAAGCCTTAATAAATCATTGACTTTGGAGTGTTAACAAGAAATCAAGGGTGCACGCCAATGTGTAGCAAGGTCTCAGAGTTCAACATACAGACCATGATCCTCTCTCACCGTTAGCCAACAGATAGCGCACCAACTCCTCATGCCCACAGAGGCAGGCATAGTACCTAGGAAAAGGGGGCAGCTGTCAGTAGGTTAGGCCCACCCAACCCACCCAGCTACCCCACAGATCACACTCACAAAGGGGTGCTGTCCCACTTGTCCCGAACGTTCACCTCCACGTCTCGTTGCTCCAGCAGGTACCTGGACAGAAGTTCAGAGCCTGGGTCAGAAGTGCTTCTAATCTGGGAGAGACCAGGTAGGGGAAGGAGGCCACATTGCTCTGGGCTAGGGACTCCTCTGAGAAGGGTGTGGCCTGGGAATGCACAGGCCTGCAAGGAACAGCAACTGTGAGTTGGGTGACAGCTTCAGGGACAGAGGCCAAGCCCCAGGTTAAGGAATTTGGTCTTGTAATATTTGGGAGAGGAAAGGTGATGGGGCCCCTACTTCAGCCTGGGGAGGTGAAGGCAGAGAAGCCAGAGAAAAGCTGGTGCAGGCACTCTGGGAGTGGAGAGCAGGAGACAGGGGCAGATCTAGGGAAGAAGTGGAAAGAACAATTGTTAAGACGCTGAGCAGAGGCCATGAACTAGGAGGCCATCACTGGGACGTGGCAGCCCGAGGAAGACATCAAGGCAGGACCTGAGCTCTCAGAGTTGCGGTTACATTGAGAGACGGGGTCCTTAGCTCTGAGGTGGCATCTGGTGTTGGGGACAGGCCTAAGGAGGCTTTGGGACGCAGCTGCAGCCTGGCCTCCTCTGATGAGGCCCAGGGGATTTGAAAGACGGTCATGGGAGAAAGGAGTCCATCAAAAGCCAGTGAGGGCCAGTGTCCGTTCTCCTCCCTGCCTGCCCACGGAGAGAAACTACGATCTCGGTGCCAGGCTCGTGCTGGCTGCATCAGGAGCATCTGCATCTCTTGATACCTCCGTGGAGGGGAGTTGTTTCCCAGCGCCGAAATAGGTAAGATACCTGGAGCACGATCTCTCCGAGTTCGGTCAGCTTCGGGAGCCCCACGGAACCCTCCCCGCACACCCAAGCCCGACGCACCCTGTGGACACCCGCCCGCCTCCTGCACTGCAGGTCCTCACCGCACACGGCCCACGTCCCCCTTCCTGCAGCTGGCAAACAGGTCGCTGGTGTCCATGGCGAGGGAGGATGGACCCCCGACCGAGCGATGTCTGGAGACCTCTGTGCCGGGCCGGATGTAAACACTCACCGCCCCGCCCCTCGCAATGCCCAACTGCGGCTCCGCAGCGGCGCCTGGCGTCCGGAGGACCACCCAGCCCGATCCCCGCCTCCGCGTCCAGAGGACCTTTCACCAAGGCTCCACCCATTAACCTTAACCACGCCCGTTCAGCCTCTAGGGGACCTCTAGCCTGGACCCCACCCACACGCCTAGAGGACAACTCAAACCCCCGGGTTCCGCCCATTCGCCAGAAGATAGCTCACTAGCAAGGCCCTGCTTCCCCCAGAAGAGCCTCACCC